AAAAAAAAAAAAAAAAAAAAAAAAAATGGATCTCATGGAACTAGAGAGTAGAATGGTGGTTTCCAAGAGCTGGGGCAGATGAGGTGGGGGATTGGGGGGATGTTGGCCAAAGGTTACAAAATTTCATTTAGATAGGAAGTTCAAGACATCTATTGTACAACAAGTTGGCTGTAGTTAATCATATTTTATATCCTTGAAAAATGCTAAAAGTGGATGTTAAGTGTTCTCACCACAAAAATGATAACTATGTGAGATAATACATTTGTTAATTAGCTAAATTTCATCAATCTGCAATGTATATATACTTCAAAACATCATGTTGTATATGATAAATGCATATACTTTTACCTGCCAATTTAAAAAATAAATACATCCACATATCATACAACCATTAAAATTATGTGTCTTTATTGAAATGAAAATAGAGTTACATATAGGGAGTAAGGGAAAACGAGTTACAAGTCTTATTTTTAAAAATCCACGTGTTGTTTCTCTATATATAGTCAAAAATAATAAAGATATAGATATAGTAGTCATCTTTGGGTAGTATGAGTGATTTTTTTCTTTTTGAGATAGGGTCTCACTCTGTCACCCAGGTTGAAGTGCAGTGGTCCAATCTCAACTCACTACAATCTTCACCTCCCAGGCTCAAGCAGTCTTCCCACCTCAGCCTCCAAAGTAGTTGGAACCACAGGTGCATGCCATCATGCCCAGATAATACTTATATATTTTGTAGAAATGGGTTTCACCATGTTGCCCAGACTGGTCTCAAACTCAGCTCAGGCAATCCACCCACCTCAGCTCCCCAAAGTGCTGGGATTACAGGTGTGAGCCACCACACCTGGCCACAAATGATTGCTGAAAACAATATAAAGCTTTCTCTTTATACTGTTTATTTTCATTTCTATAGTGAGAAGCTCTTATTTTTATTATCTAAAGATATAAGAATTATGCAAAAAATAAAATATCTCTTTTTGGGAAGACAAGGTGGGGATGACAGGGTCTCACTGTGTCACCCATGCTAGAGTGCAGTGGTGCCATTATGACTCACTGCAGCTTCAACCTCCTGGGTTCAATCGATCCTCATGTCTCGACCCCTTGAGTAGCTGGGACCACAGGCACATGCCACCACATCCATTTAATTTTTGTACTTTTTTGTAGAGATGGGGTTTCACCATCTCTACAGGCTGGTCTCAAACTCCTGGGCTCAAGCCATCTGCCAATCGTGGCCTTCCAAAATGCTGAGATTACAAGCATGAGCCACTACACCTGGACAAAAGTATCTTTATTGGAGGAAATTCCCTACTATTATTCCACATGTTTATATTATCCTAAGGAGGTATTTAATGTAACATTTATAGGAACAAAATTATTCTCAGATATTCAATATGTGCTCCAAATTATCATTGTGTCACCTCATTTTTTATTCTTTCTAAATGTAAAACTCCTTGAGTTTATATTCAAATTGGAGCATGTCTGAGATTAGTTAATCAAATAATGAACATTTCAACACATGCAAAAAAAAAAAAGAAATATTTTGCAAGCTTGTTTCTCTATGACTCCAGCAGCCAACTTAATAACATACTATTAACCTTCATTTCTGAAACTGTGGCTTCCTTTGTTTGGAAACTTATGACATTATGACATTTGCTAAGTCCTCTCATGATTTAGCATCACAATATAAAAAGGAGATGAAAAAGTTTTCTTTCTGTGGCATATGAACACACTTGAGTGATTAAGGCTGCCTAAATTACATCTAAATTGCAAATATTTATACATCAGTCTTAAATTCTCAAGCCTCTCTTGTCTTTTCAGGTGTCTACTGTTATCATGCCAAATGAGTTTCAGCAGGATTATGACATCAGAGATTGTGCTGCTGTGAAGGTCAGTACAATGCTGGAAAATCTGCATATTTAAAAAAATCCATCATCATATGCAGTCAAATAACAGATCCATGGAATGCCTTTGCATGTAGAGCATGACGTTAGATGCAGTAGGAGATAAGCACACCCATGGCCTGCCCCTCAGCAGCCTAACTTACACTTCATTTGAGAGGATAAAATTCATATTCAAGAAAACTTCCTTCATTACTATGCAGTAGTAAGCTCTAAATAAGTAGGCTGAGGAAGGTTAATGAAACTCAGAGGAGGAAGTGATTCCCGTGGCCATTGTCCAGGAAGAGGTGGGACTTGAACTGGGACTTTAAGGATGGATAGTTTCTACAGATGGGATAGGGTGAGGCTTTCTCATGCAAGGATGGTATGAGAAAGTGGCATAAAATAAGGTGGAAGTGGAAGGAAGCATGGAAGGCAGCGAAGAGAACAGAATACAGATCATGAAGTTTTCGTTGGTGCTGTCCTTGATAACAATATTAGGAAATTAGATTGATGCCAAGTTAAGGAATTTGTATACTTCTTGATGAGCAACAGGGCATTTTTTAAAGTTTCTGAGTAGGGAGGGTCATGTGAACTAAGGAGGATATGAGGAAGATTCATCTTGAGACAGATGTCAAGTGCAACAGTAAGATGGGAAGGCATAAAAGACCAGTTAGACATCTTCCTTCGCAGAATGCATTCATGTATCTATTTCATAAACAGTCCAAGGAGTCTGTGAGGCACTGGGGGATAGAACAATGACAAGGTACAAAGCATAGCCATTGTCTTCACAGAACGAAAGTCTAGTAGGAAATAAAGACAAATAAGCAATTAAGACACCACTGAGTAAGGACTATGACAGGTGAAATACAAGTTTTATGCAAGAACAAGAATATTATGAGACAATAATAATGATGGTGATGGTGATGGCGATGGTCCATGGTAGTGGTGATGATGATGATGGCAGCAGCTAACACTGATTAACTCCTTTATGAGCCAGCCACTGTGCTAGGCATGTCACACATGTCACTTAACGCATAAGCAATCTTGTGAGGTAGGCACTGTTACTGTATTCATCTCACATAGGAACTTGAGCTGTAATTTACTCCCGCTTACATGGAGTAAATTTAAACTGAACTGAAATTTAAACCCATGTGTGTCTGGGTCTGTTACCCTTAACCACCATTCTATATGATTAGGCATTTATAGAAACAGAAAGGGTACTGATTTATGGAGAAAATTTTAAGATTTTGTTTAGATATTTTGAATCCAAGCTAGCTGAGGTATATGCTATGGTAAGTTGAGATCAAGAGTCTTGAGTTGAAAGGAAAACGTATATTTAAGAAAAAGAAGGTGAAGGGCCAAGAATTGGATTTGGTGGAACTACCAACATATAGAGTGAAAAAAGATCAAGTTGGAGGAGACGTCAGGTAATCTTTGATTTATAGTCCAAGGCAGAGATTCAAGAAGGTTGCTCACCAGAAATGTTACAGGAAGGCTAAAGCAAATAAGAACTGATAAAGCCACAGGAAAGCACCTTTTTTTTTGGTGGGGGGGGGACGGAGTTTCACTCATGTTACCCAGGCTGGAGTGCAATGGCGCGATCTCGGCTCACCGCAACCTCCGCCTCCTGGGTTCAGGCAATTCTCCTGCCTCAGCTTTCTGAGTAGCTGGGATTACAGGCACGCGCCACCATGCCCAGCTAATGTTTTCTATTTTTAGTAGAGACGGGGTTTCACCGTGTTGACCAGGATGGTCTCGATCGCTTGACCTCGTGATCCACCCGCCTCGGCCTCCCAAAGTGCTGGGATTACAGGCTTGAGCCACCGCGCCCGGCCGAAAGCACCATTTTCAAAGTGACTCTCCTAGTAATAAACAGTGTCATTCATGGCATTTTTTGTGGGGGGACGGAGTGTCACTCTGTCGCCCAGGCAGGAGTGCAGTGGCACGATTTTGGCTCATTGCAACCTCCACCATCCAGGTTCAAGCGATTCTCCTGCCTCAGCCTCCCGAGTACCTGGAACTACAGGCACGTGCCACCACACCTGGCTAATTTTTTGTATTTTTAGTAGAGACGGGCTTTCACCATGTTAGCCAGGATGGTCTCGATCACCTGACCTTGTGATCTGCCCTCCTTGGCCTCACAAAGTGCTGGGATTATAGGCATGAGCCACCACGTGCAGCCTTCATGGCGTTTTTATAGAATTCCCAATTTAACACAAGAAAAGGTAAAAACTTCAGAGAAGCTTATGGGAACACTGGTACAATAAACTATAGTCTAGGTAAATAGAGTTTCCAAGTATGGAGAGATTTGAAAACCTGCCAAATAAATAAAGAAATACTAATGCAACCTGAATCCGGAACAAGCCCATCCAGGGCAGTGTTCTGTAAGAAAAATCTTACCTCACCTGCCAGAGAACCTCCAGAAACTTGGCCTTAAGAGAAAATAGTCCAAGAAGTGATGGATGTCTCTCCCAAGTCATGCTTCCTCTCTCCTTTTTCTCCTACTTGCCGGCTGGAATTGGCAGTGAGCCATCCTGGACCTTGTGGAGAAGGGCAAAATCCTAGAAATGGCATATGACAACACCAGAGAAGGAGCCTGGGCCACTGAGGCTGGACTTTTATGTCACTTTCTGATCTGATTTGATCACAGCTTGGTGCTTGGATATCTCTAAAATAAATATCCTAACAAAAATTGTCAGGCGTCGGGGAGAAAATCTGCATTTTGGATATAAACATGACTTTACAACATATTTCCTTTCTTAGCCCCTTTGAAGGCTCTTGCTCAGGGTATTACTGTTTAAATATTCCATTCATTCATGTGTTCATTTAGTAAACAAATACTTTAGGTGCCAGAGCTAACATAGAGATCAAAATCATAGGGCTTACAGTTTAGTGTTCCATAAGGAATGTATCGACTTCAAACTATTCTGCAATCCTTTTCCTCTTTTAGGTCATTCATAGGCCATGGCGAAGAGGTTGGCATTTCTTTGATGACAGAGAATTTATTTATTTGAGGCCTTTTGCTTGTGATACAAAACTTGAATGGGTGTGCCAAATTCCAAAAGGTAAGTGGTAATTATTCCTTTTCACAACCTTCTCATTTTAACATTGTCAATGCTCAGCTCAAAATACTTAAGGGAGCATTTTGATCTATAATTCTAATGTCTAAAAGTCTATAATGATGCAGTTAATATGTGGAGCACCCCTGCCTGACTCTGGTTTCTAATAGAAGGCTAGCTTATTGAAATTTGGTGATACTTTACTCTTTGATCATGGAAGAATTTGCACAGAAGATAAAGTTTAAGACTCATTTAGGGAGATTAGATTTTGGATGAAATAGTATTTTAAGCAAAAGAAGAAATATAGAATCATTTTAATTTTTTATTTTGATGCAAAATGAAAAAATAAAGATAGGAAAAAGAAGGCAAGAGTCAAGAAATAAAAATTTGGCAGGTCCCTGTAAAGCTTAGAAGAAATTTTCAATGAACTACAAAACTGCTAACACTTTTATGTAAACTCAAATTTGAGAAGCCAGTTAGATTGATAGTACAGCCTTTGATAACAGAAAGGAGGCGGGGGAACATAGATATAATTTTACTTCACTTTTTACCAGGAAAATATGAAATATTAAGAAAAATGTTAGGAAGATTTTAATTCTCAAATTATTATTATCATTTTTTAAGACGGAGTCTTGATCTGTCTCGCAGGCTGGAGTGCGGTGCTGCGATCTCGGCTCACTGTAGCCTCCACCTCCCAGGTTCAAGCAATTCTCCTGCGTTAGCCTCCCAAGTAGCTGGGACTACAGGCACCTGCTACCATGCCAGGCTAATTTTTGTGTTTTTAGTAGAGTCAAGGTTTCACCGTGGTGGCCAAGCTGGTCTCGAACTTCTGAACTCAAGTGATTGGCCCACTTCAGCCTCCCAAAGTGCTAGGATTACAGGCATGAGCCACCCCACCCAGCCTCAAATTATTTTTAAGCAGACATTGGCCATATTAAATTAATTAGCAGAAAACACCTAGAAATTTTTAAAATAAATCTCTGAACCAAATGTCAACAGATCATTGAAACTAAAGGTATATCCTCCTACAAGTTCTCAAAGAACCCAAAGTTCACATCATGGAACTGCCTATTAGAAGATTATTCTTTTTCCTAAAATAGTTAAAAGAGCTTCAGATGTGGCATTAGGTGCTGGCGAATCTCTTTCACAAAGGCAAACTGTGAAACCATTTATAAAAGAGAGTGTGTGTGTGTGTGTGTGTGTGTGTGTGTCTGTGTGTCTGTGTGTCTGTATGTGTATGGGTTTTTCTAAAGGATAAATTATGCCTGAGTTATTCCTGATTATTTGATTAAACTCGGAAAAGGGACAAAGGAAAACCAGTTTGGATATCCTTTAAACAAGTGGAAAAGTAATTCGCACATAATTAATTCGGACAATATCTCTGTTTTGAAGCATTAGTGTGAGCCTCCCATTACTCTCTGGCATTTGTTAGCATTCCACAGACAATGTCATTGTTCCAACCAAGGTGCCCTCAATGTGAGCTGCTGTCCCCACCTCCTGTTTGAGCAGTGGAGCAGACCCCAGAGTTTAAACAAGGACAACCTTAGAAATGGCAAATTAGTCGCCACAGGAAATAGTATAAAGGGCATTTGGAGGTATATATATATATATATATATATATATATATATATATATAAACATATATTTTTAACAAGAGAGAAAGGAATTAACTCGGCAAACATAAATCAATTAATCAAACAAATACATCTTCTAAGTAATTCTACCTCCATTGTCCCCATGCAGAAACAAAATAAAAAACTAATCTCCTGTTCTCAGCCTATTCCCAATTACTTGAAGAAATCAGTGATTGCTTGCTCCATGGTTTAAATGTTATGTTCACCCTTTTTTGACTGTACCTAAACTTCTAAGTTATGATGTGATACATTCACCTGGTTAGATATTTTCTTGGTTATTAGAGCAGCCTAAAGTTTACCCAACTTGTATTAATCTGTATTTTCTAGTTTTCTTAAAGAAATTTTCCTCTTATGTATCCTAAATCACCATGCCTTTTCTCTGGCTCTTGCCTTTTTATTACTTGGTTCTAATTAATCCTCTCTTCCCTAAAAGAGATATTTTGTCAACCTGTAAATGTGAAGTAACCTTAATCCCTGAATATTTGTACTTTTTAAATATTCTTTTTTTTATTGAGAAAACTGTGTCAAAAATAAGGTTCATAAAATTGTTTTTAGGAAAATTACCTATGATGCCATTACCCAAACATAGCTATTTTTATTGTAACTCTTGATACCTTGTACACACATACATGTTTGTAATCTTGTATAAAAACACACCTAGCATCCTGCTTTTCTCACTAATTTAAAGATATGTAAAGGTTAGACATAGCTTTCCCTCCCCCCACACATAAATAATCAGAAATCTTTGACAAGATTACAGACAAGAAACTGTATACATTTTGAACTGACTTGCAGCATTATTGTTGGAAATTATCCAATATGAATAGAATTGGCTTAGAGAGAGAGACCAAAGATGCTAGCTATGCAGGCAGTCCTCTGAGTTAGGTCTTCTGTTGCCTGAGGCCCACATGCCACACCAAAATTAAGAACAGCTATTTTACTCTGTAATTTCTAAGGTTAAGCGAATGATGTCTCTGACTTGAAGCCAGTGTGATCTGTGGTCAGAATGAAAAGGGGGAGGAAAGCAAATAGGCTCCCATGAGGAACTGCTCTGTGCCTGGTCCTGTGCTGGCCGCTTTCTCCAGGGCATCACACGTGACCTTCGCTCCCTGTGAGTTAGGTGGCCATCTACTTTTCATAGAGGGGAAAATCAAGGCTCAGAGAGAGTTAAGCAACTCATCTGAAATACCACAGCAGCAAAATGTATAAGGGCATTTGCACACTGATCTGCCCAGCTTCCGAGCCTGGAGTTCTGTGTAGCATGCCTTATTTCCTCCATTTCCATCTGGGAATTCTGAGTGATTTTATTATTTTCCTCTCAGTTTTGTCTCATCTTCTCAAAATGTTCATCACTGGAGCATTGTACATTGTTTCCAAGGATATCATGGAAGACAATGAACTCTCTCAACCTAAGTTTACAGAATAGTTATTCGTTCCATTAGATTGAGAAGTGGTTCTAGAATGATGATTATTTTGGTTCCTATTTCTTATTGCTTTTGTGTAATACATATGATATCATCATTTACTTTCTAATTCTTAGCTATATTTTATCCTTCTATACTTCCTTTGTGATCTCTATGACAAAGGGAAAAGACTGCTAGAAATACTTCATTCATATTTAACAGATCTGCCTTTTGATCGCTCCTAAAGCAGCTTTAGCATCAGCCCCACAAAATACAACTAAGGTGATCAAAACGTGAAGTGACCTGTCCAGAAATGGACAAGCCTCAGCAATACTGCAAGACTTTTTGAGCTACTTTGAAGGCTCTACTTATAGTACACCCTGATCTGTCATTGAACACTAATGCCACTTGCTTTCTTCCTCGTATAGGCCACACTCCAAAAACACCAGACTGGTACAATCCAGGTGAGTTAAAAAAAAACTAAAATTTAACCAAAGCTGCTTTTACCTTTTCACTAATGCATTTAGTTAACTATTCAAGTGCCAGCTTCTTCTCTATACGTCTTCAAGTGAAATAAAATTTCTCCAGGCAAGGAAGGTGAGTGACTGGTGTGGGATGAGGTGATTAAGGTGGCTTTTTCCTTCCCTGTGAGTGCAGGGGAGTGGCAGAGTCATTAGCTCAGATATCTCTTGTTTCTTATACTCAGTACTGCCCCAGCCAGAGAGGGCCGGTAATCTGAATTACTATTTGCACTTTTGAACATTAACTTATACTTGGAGGACACAGTTTGCTTTGCATAGTCATAACTCGAATCTTTTTCTTCTTCTTCTTTAGAGCGTGCTGGGATTCATGGACCTCCACTTATAATTGAAGGAAGTGAATATTGGTTTGTTGCTGATGTTCACCTAAACTATGAAGAAGCTGTCCTATACTGTGCCAGCAATCACAGCTTTCTTGCTACTGTAACATCTTTTGCAGGACTAAGAGCCATCAGAAACAAAATAGCAAATGTAATTTAAAATAATATATTTTAAATGTATTTCTTATTTTTATATTTATTCCATTTAAAAATATTTCAAAAATTTTGCCAAAATCTACAAAAGTTAAATTTTCCTTTAATGTAAGATTTGCCTTACAACATCCAAATTTGTTTCATGTTTGAAAAATTAAGTAGAATTGCTTATGTTTTAAAATATACAAGATTAACAATAAATATCACTTCATAAGGTAAATAGCAGTAGATAATATAAATGATTCTAATTCCCTGTCATGTTTTTTACTAAAAGTCAACTTTATAGTTAACTTGAGTTTTTGTTTCTACTAATAAGTAACTTTGCAAATAGCTTTTGTGAAGAAAAATAATTTCTCTATTTTAAAATTTATAATTAATTGCAATAGGATACTGTATGCCCACTTAAAGTATTAGTCAAATAAATATATGCCCGTAATTACAGCTATTGTATTTCCTGTACCCAAAATAGGATCTGTAAATATACAGAGAGTTTTCAACTATTCTTTGGCAAAAGGTCCTGGCTTGTATAATTTTGAGATCTAAGTAAGGAATGTCTAGAAATTATAGTGGTTAGTGGTTATAGTAAGACAAGGTATTTGAACCAAAACCCTCAAGAAAGCTCAGCACCTATAAGAATGGATTTTGGTTTGTTTTTCAGATATCTGGTGCTGAACAGAAGTGGTGGATGAGAACTAGTGAGGAGCCAATAGATCATTATTTTTCATAGTAAGTGACATCATTGATTTTACCTTTGTAAAGTTATCACTTAAAAGAAGCAATTTCTTTTATTAAATGGATTTTTATTTATAAATAGTTTGAATATTAACCCATAAACTGCCTAGATTAGAAAAACCAAGTCCTTTTGCATGTTGGCATCAAGAAAAAAGGGGTATAAAATAATGGTATTAACATTAAATTTAGAAATAAAATAACTTACAGTAAAAAGAAAAAAATGGAACACCTAATTACATTAGTTGTTGTGAAATCTGTCGTTTTCTTTCAGCTCACGACATCCATGGCACCGCTTTCATGTGACATTTGGAGAGGAATGCTTGTACATATCTCCCAAGACTTGGCTTATGGGTAAAGTTAATTCTAACTCCTCTAATGCTTATTATGTAATATGTGAACCTCAGTTTCTGTTTCTAGCTTAATCTTGTTTTCCTTTTGATTATATGTTTGGTAACTTCATCTTACTCTGATTTATTATCAACAACAATAGCTCAAATTCCCAATGCAAATAAAATCACTTTTCACTGTGAATATTTTAACTTCCTTTATCCTTAAGCAGTTACTTAGAAATAAACTTACCACTTTCCTAATTGATAAATGTCTAAGCAAATTTTCAAAGATAAGCAGGCAGCAGTTCTAACATATAGTTTAGGTTAGGTCCCCTTCTTCCCCTGATTACTCTGCCCCTTCAACTCTCTTCCTACCTCTTGCCTTCATTCTGGGACAATATGGTAGTTATGTAAAATGTGTAATGTTTTAAAACAGTATTGGTATGCTGCAAACTACCGATAAAAATAATCACAGAAGACAGAAATGGCTAGAGAAGAAATGGAACATATTTTAAGCATTTGGGAAAGATTGATTTCAAGAGCCTTTCTTTACTACTGGGTTGCTTTTGAAATGTGGTGACCGGGCGCGGTGGCTCACGCCTGTAATCCCAGCACTTTGGGAGGCTGAAGCAGGCAAATCACTTGATGCAAAGGAGTTCAAGACCAGCCTGGCCAACATGGTGAATCCTTGTCTCTACTAAAAATGCAAAAGTTAGCCGAGTATGGTGCCATGCACCTGTAATCCCAGCTACTTGCGAGGCTGAAGTACGAGAATCACTTGAACCTGGGAGGCAGAGGATGCAGTAAACCAAGATCACACCGCTGCACTCCAGCCTGGGCAAGAGTGAGACTCTGTCTCAAAAAAAAAAAAAAAAATGTGCTGGCTGAAAAATTCTCACCATAGTAATCCTTGCTTTTCATTTCTCAGACTTAGGTAAACCAGTAGACTGTAGTACCAAGTTGCCCTTCATCTGTGAAAAATATAATGTTTCTTCATTAGAGAAATACAGCCCAGATTCTGCAGCTAAAGTGCAATGTTCTGAGCATTGGATTCCTTTTCAGAATAAGGTAAAAAGAGAATTGCTACATTGTGCAAAAATGATTGCTTCCATGCTGGTTGTATGGCCTATGACAGAATGGCAGCCCTTTAGTGTGACAACATCACTGAGATAGACTCTGCATGTTTTAGGATCCCACCTGGCCCCCTGTATCACCAGAAACCGTGGAGGATATCAAGAATTAACTCTTAAGTTGGTCATGCCTACAGCTCTTTTAAAGTGCAGCATTTCTATTGTTACTACTAACACTTAAATTAACTGTTAAAGTTCATCTGTTAATGGATTGGGATGCCTTGAATAGTCAGGACTATCTCTATGGTATTATAGGACACTGACTTAATTTCTGGCTTGTGTTTTCTTTTTCCCCTCAAGGAGAGCATCCAAGTAGCATCTGCCAATCAAATTAGACCAGCATTTCACAAACTACTTTTTGGGGACTATACATATGCAACAAAATATTCATCATTGATCTTGCCTCCAAATGGGGGTTTTATGATTAAATAGGTTTGAGAATTGCTGCATTCTGTGTCTGCCTTTTTGAGATGCATAATCCATGTTGGTATATGTATCTATTAGGAAATGCATTTAGCTGCTGAAGAGAGGTTGCTCCAGTATGTTAAAACACTTATTCTGTCGCATTAAAGTCATTTGAAGATAAGCAGGTTTGTGTGGAAACACCATGAAGTCTTCAAAACCAGATTTCTTTTGTTTTTGCTCTGTCATCCTTAATATAAGGCCTCCAAGCTTAAACTCACGGTGTTCTCTCTAGGGTCTTTTCTAGAAGTTACCCAATGAGTTTATCTACATTGGGTATCTTGGCTCATTGACCACTCCAGTCTATAAGAAAGCTGGAAAAAAATTTTTGTAGAATGTTTCAAGGAACACAATTTGGGACATACCGCTCTATACTAAAGTGATCATAATGTCAAGAAGGAAAAGAAGAAATGTGTCTGACAGCTGAAAGCATCTGTAGGGAAGTTAGGGTACATTTTACTTTTGAAAGTTAGGACAATCTTTATAATTCCTCAAGGTAATAGTACTATGTTAATTTGCATAGCTGACATAACTTTGAAGTAAAATATCCTGCCAAGAAAGAGATGAATTTTTAAACAGTGTTTCTTGATATAAGGAGACGATGATTAAGGGCACAGATTAAGAAATCAGGTGGAACAGAGTATACTGACTTTACTATTGTGTGGCTACTGCACTTATGGGTCAAGTTATTTAATATCCTTGTGCCTCAGTTTCTCTCTCCATTGTGAGAGTTAGATGAGATAATACACAAACTGCTTACACATAGGAAGCACTCAATAAATGGGAGACTTTTAAATATGTATATATTTAAATATAAAGATATGTATATGTTAAAATATATAAAGATAATATAAATATATATAAAGATATTTACAGATCTATATTTAAAGATATTATAACTATTTATATTATATATTTATAAATATATAAATATATAAATTATATATAAATATCTAAATTGTATATAAATATATAAATTAAAAATTATATATATATTTATATTATATTTATATATATATGTTACATTTATATTTATATATAATTATATAAATATATTTAAATATATAAATTATAAATATATAAATAAAAATTATATATTTATATATTTATATTATATTTTATATATATTTATATTACATTTATATTTATATATAATTTATATATATGTAGATATAAGATAAACATATATATTTAAAGGTAATTATAAATATTTATATTTATAAATATATAAATTATATGATTATATATTTATATATATTTATATGGTATATTTATAAATATATAAATATATACTTATATAAAATTATATATTTATATATTTATATTAAATATATGTTTATACTTATATATATTTATATTAAATATATATATGTTTATACTTATATATATTTATATTAAATATTTATATTTATAATATATTTGTATTAAATATATATTTATATATTTATAAATATATTATAAATATAATTAAAATATTTATAATTGTCTTTAAATATATATCTTTAAATATATTTATAATATATTTACTATATGTATTTTATATATTTAATATATAAATATATTAAATATTTGGATTTATATATAAATATATTAAATATATATTTAGATTATTCTTTAAATATATATTTAAATATATATGTTTAAAGATATCCCATATACATTTATATATATCATATATATATGTCAAAGTTTGAAGACCGCTCTTCAGTTGTTTAAATTGAGAAGGTAGTTTGATCCCAGGAGCTCAAGGTTACAGTGAGCTATGATTGTACCACTGCACTCCAGCCTGTGTGACAGAGAGAGACCCTGTCTCTTAAAAAAAAATAATTAATGAAAGCATAAACTTGAATTCTTATGGTACTACATTGCAAATTACCATATCTCACAGACCAAAAATTAACAGCCCTCTAAAAGATGAAGCCTTTTCTTTCTATGTGAGCGTTCCTGTATCTGGAATCTCATCCTTCACATATGCCTTTGTTTGCAGTGTTTTCTGAAGATCAAACCCATGTCTCTCACATTTTCTCAAGCAAGTGATATCTGTAACTCATATGGTGGTACCCTTCCTTCAGTGTTGAGCCAGACTGAACAAGGTACTGTAATTATTTGGGAAACATGTTTTATTCTGATCTGGGACCAGGTTGGTTTTAGGAGGCTATGGGAATAACATACAAAATTATTATTAAACTTTTTAATGGAACAGATAAAAGACTATCTTGATAGTTAGATAAGCAAAAGATATTCATTGACATTTTTAGTATATCTTTAATTTGAATAGATCAAATGCTTTTTAAAAATCTCTTTCTAACAGATTTTATTACATCCTTGCTTCCGGATATGGAAGCTACTTTATGGATTGGTTTGCGCTGGACTGCCTATGAAAGGATAAACAAATGGACAGATAACAGAGAACTGACATACAGTAACTTTCACCCATTACTGGTTAGTAGGAGGCTGAGATTACCAGAAAACGTAAGTTTTTTTTTTAATCAGTATTCTTCATACCTCTGTGAAATATTTGTCTTTCATACATAAGAGCAAAGGCCTACTGTATTCCTTTTACATGAAATGTGTAGAATAGGCACATCTAAGATAGTAAGTGGGTTATTGGTTGCTAGAGGCTAAGAAGGATGGAGGGATTGGGAGTAGTAACTAAAGGGTATGGAGTCTTCTTTTGTGGGATGACAAAGATGTTCTAAGATTTATGGGGTGATGGTTGTGTAACTCTGTGAATATACTAAAAACTATTGAATAGTTACTTTAAATGAGCAAATTGTCTCATATATGAATTATAGCTCAGTAAAGCTATTACAAGAACAACAGGTGCCTCCCCACCCTTCTGGTGGATGCACTGGTTTTCCACAGTAGCATCAGATTCCATAGCACTTCTTTCATAACCATGTAAAACCATCAAGTAGTAAGTTGTAAACAGAAGCAAATACAGGTGTTTTGCTTTACAGTTTGGGACTTTGGGCTCTCAGCCTGAGTCTGTTGAGGTAAAAAGTATAAAATTGGCAACTGGTGATCACTTTTCTCCAAGACCTAAATATAAAGAAGTCAGAGAAGGGAAAAGAGCATGATATCAACAGTAGTTATGCTGACACCACAGTATTACCGCCCACTGCTTCTGTTCTCTATACTTTCTGGATGCAGATCACCTTTTGCACAAAGGGCAAAGATTTAGAAATTAACATAAAAGTCTAATTCTGAAAGTATGTCTTAGACAGTAATCAACTAATGTTCCTGACATAATGTTACTTTGCTCAAAGTTAATGTTGGTAGCAAAGGAAATTCTGAATCATGAGTAACTATGTACAACATAAATACCAAATTATTACTTGGTTATAGAAGATGTGGAAGTTAGAGTAGACACAGCAATGAAAAATGTCAACCCAACAAAAGAAAGGATATCAGGGATTGAAGATCAACTCAATGAAATAAAGCGAGAAGACAAGATTAGAGAAAAAAGAGTGAAAAGAAATGAACAAAGCCTCCACTAAATACAGGATTATGTGAAAAGTTGTACTACATTTGATTGATGTACCTGAAAGTGAAGGGGAGAGTGAAACCAAGCTGGAAAACATTCTTCAGGATACTATCCAGGAAAACTTCCCCAACCTAGCAAGGCAGGCCAACATTCAAATTCAGGGAATACAGAGAACACCACAAACATGCTCCTCAAGACAAGCAACCCCAAGACACATAATCATTAGATTCACCAAGGTTGAAATGAAGGAAAAAATGCTAAAGGCAGCCAGAGAGAACACTCGGGTTACCTGCAAAGGGAAACCCATCAGACTAACAGTGGCTGTCTCAGCAGAAACCTTCAAAGTCAGAAGTGAGTGGGGGCCAATATTCAACATTCTTAAAGAAAAGAATTTTTAACCCAGAATTTCACATTCAGTCAAACTAAGCTTCATAAGCAAAGGAGAAATAAAATCCTTTACGGACAAGCAAATGCTGAGAGATATTGTCACCACCAGGCCTGCCCTACAGAAGCTCCTGAAGGAAGCACTAGACATGGAAAGGAACAACCAGCACCAGCCACTGCAAAAACATACCAAATTGTAAAGACCATCAACAGTAGGAAGAAACTGCATCAACTAACAAGCAAAATAACCAGCTAGCATCATAAAGGCAGGATCAAATTCACACATAATAATATTAATCTTAAATGTAAATGAGCTAAATGCCCCAATTAAAATACATAGACTGGCAAATTGGATCAAGACCCATCAGTGTGCTGTATTCAGGAGACCCATCTCAAGTGCAAAGACACACATAGGCACAAAATAAAGAAATGGAGGAAGATTTACCAAGCAAATGGAAAGCAAAAAAAAAGCAGGGGTCTCAATCCTAGTCTCTGATAAAACAGAGTTTAAACCATCAAAGATCAGAAGAGACAAAGAAGGGCATTACATAATGGTAAAGGGATCAATGCAACAAGAAAAGCTAACTATTTTAAATATATATGCACCCTATGCAGGAGCACCCAGATTCATAAAGCAAGTTCTTAGAGACTTAGACTCCCACAAAATAATAGTGGGAGACTTTAAATTTAACCCCACTGTCAGTATTAGACAGATCAGTGAAACAGAAAATTAACAAGAATATCTAGGACTTGAACTCAGCTCTGGACCAAGTGGACCTAATAGACATCTACAGAACCCTCCACCTCAAATCAGCAGAATATACATTCTTCTCGGCACCACATTGCACCTATTCTAAAACTGACCACATAATTGGAAGTAAAATAATCCTCAGCAAATGCAAAAGACTGGAAAGCATAACAGTCTCTCAGACCACAGTGCAATCAAATTAGAACTCATGATTAAGAAACTCACTCAAAACCACTCAACTACAGAGAGACTGAACAACCTGCTCCTAAATGACTACTGGATAAATAACAAAATAAAGACGTTCTTTGAAAACAATGAGAATGAAGACACAATGTCCCAGAATCTCTGGGACACACTTAAAGCAGTGTGTAGAGGGAAATTTATAGCACTAAATGCCCAACAAAGCAGGAAAGATCTAAATTGACACCCTAATGTCACAATTAAAAGAACTAGAAAAGCAAGAACAAACAAATTCAAAAGCCAGCAGAAGATCAGAGCAGAACTGAAGGAGATAGAGACACAAAAAACCCTTAAAAAAAATCAATGAATCCAGGAGCTTGTTTTTTGAAAAGATCAACAAAATATATAAACTGCTAGCCAGACTAATAAGAAAAAAGAGAAGAATCAAATAGATGCAATAAAAAATGATAAAGGCAGTATCACCCTCAATCCCATAGAAATACAAACTACCATCAGAGAATACTATAAACACCTCTATGCAAGTAAGCCAGAACATCTAGAAGAAATGGATAAATTCCCGGACACTTATACCCTCCCAAGACTAAACAAGGAAGAAGTCAAATCCCTGAATAGACGAAAAACAAGATCTGAAATTGAGGCAGCAATGAATAGCCTACCAACCAAAAAAGTCCAAGACCAGACGATTTCATAGCCAAATTCTACCAGAGGTACAAAGAGGAGCTGGTACCATTCCTTCTGAAATGATTCCAAACAATAGAAAAAGAGGGAATCCTCCCTAACTCATTTTTGAGGCCAGTACCATCCTGATAACCAAAATCTGGCAGAGAGAAAACTAAAAAAGAAAATTTCAGGCCAATATCCCTGATGAACATCAATGTGAAAATCCTCAATAAAACACTGGCAAACATAATCCAACAGCACATCAAGAAGCTTATCCACAATCAAGTCAGCTTCATCCCTGGGATGCAAGGTTAGTTCAACATACACAAATCAATAAACATATTTCATGACATAAACAGAAACAAAGACAAAAATTACATGATTACCTCAATAGATACAGAGAAGGCCTTCAACAAAATTCAACAACGCTTCATGATAAAAACTCTCAATAAACTAGGTATCAATGGAACATATCTCAAAATAATAAGAACTATTTATGACAAACCCACAGCCAATATCATACTGAATGGGCAAAAACTGGAAGCATTCCCTTTGAAAACTGACACAGGCAAGGATGCTCTCTGTCTCACCACTCCTATTCAACACAGTATTGGAAGTTCTGGCCAGGACAGTCAGGCAAGAGAAAGAAATAAAGGGTATCCAAATAGGTAAAGAGGAAGTCAAATTGTCTCTATTTGCAGACAGCATGATTGTATATTTAGAAGACTCCATCATCTCAGTCCAAAATCTCCTTAAGCTGATAAGCAATTTCAGCAGTCTTAGGATACAAAATCAATATGCACAAAACACAAGCATTTCTATACACCAATAACAGACAAACAGAGAGCCAAATCATAAGTAAACTCCCATCATAATTGCTACAAAGAGAATAAAATACCTAAGAATACAACTTGCAAGGGATGTGAAGGACCTCTTCAAGGAGAATTACAAACCACTGCTCAAGGAAATCAGAGAGGATAAAACAAATGGAAAACATTCCATGCTCATGGACAGGAAGAATCAATATCATGAAAATGGCCATATTACCCATAGTAATCTATAGATTCCCCATCAGGCTGCCATTGACTTTCTTCACAGAATTGGAAAAAAATACCTTAAATTTCATGTGGAACCAAAAAACAGCCCACATAGCCAAGACAATTCTAAGCAAAAAAAAAAAAAA